CTCAGTGGTCTTGGTGTCAGCTAGCCATGGTTCCAGAAGAGTTTACCTGGAAAGCAGTAAAACATACTAAACTGGGCTCAAGCTCAGGGCCTGGGTTAAACTTAGCATTCCTTGTAGAAATCCCGTTTCCATTTTCTTAGATTAGTAAACCAAAGCTGAGGCAAACCACTTGTCTTTGTTTTGTTTCAAGCCCCACTCTTAGGAATAATATCTTATGTATGTCAAGAGCTTTAATTTTTTTCAAAGCACTTTCACAGACATAGCCTTCTTCCACAGTCCCAATCCTGTGGGGTTAGTTAGGCCTTCTTATTCCGATTTACAGATCAAAAAGCTGAGGCATGTACCAGGCAAGAGACTTGCATGAGGTCCCAGAAGTAGTTATGGCAGAGCTTCGAGGCCAGTGTTCTTTCCTCAGAGTCACGCTGCCCTCCAACTGATCCCGCCTGAAACGGAGCACAGTAGCTAGGGGCAGACAGGGTTTATGACTCCAAGCCACAGATGCAGAAGGTGAAGAAGTGAATGTGAATAAAGCTACAAAACTGACAATATTTTCAAAGACTTGGACATTTGCACAGGACCAGTGGGTTCATGCAAGTCTTGGCCTAGAGATTCATTCAACCACCACCCAGTTAAAGGACATCACTTGGGCTTTTCCTTCCCCTCCTCCTTCTCTCCTTCCTTCCTTCCTCCCTTCCTTCTTCCTTCCTTCCCTTCCTCTCTGCCTCCTTCCCTCTCCCTCTCTCTCCCACTTGGCCCTCTCTCCCTCTCTCCCTCTCTGCTTCCCTCCCCACCCCCTTTCCTTGGTCAAAGCAGAGGTCATTAATATAACAAGCAACTATGTGGCTGGGCTCATATCCTCCTTCTCCTTTGCTGGCGAACTGTGGAATCAAAGCTCTGTGGTCTCAAGTTCCTCATCTCCCCTTCCAGCAGGTGCTCTATGCATTGGTCAGAGTGCAGAGTCCTCAGTAACCCTCGGGTAGAAGGGCACAGCCATGCCCTGTGCTGAGCGTTATGTGATTACCAGAACTGGCACACTGTGCCTCTGATCAACGAATAAGCAATCACAGAATCTAGAAAACAGGAGAAGGCACATCTCAGAGGGATCCAGAAATACAATGCCCCATTGGAGGCATTTGTTAGGACAGCAGTGGAAAGTGCCTGCCTGGGCCTGGGTGATGGAGAACTGTCTGAGTTGAGAATTCATTCTCTGCCTCTCAATAGCCTCATGAACTTGGGTAAGACAAAGATTTAACTTCTCCAAGTCTCAGATTCCTCATCTGTAAAATGGTGATTGTTACACTTTCCCCACAAGGTTATTGTAAGGATGAAGCACCAAGCATAGTGCCAGGCAAACCACAGGTGCTCAATAAATATTAGTTCTCCTCCCAGCAGTCCTTTCTTTAGCCTCATGGTGCATTCCTAACTGAGTAACACTATTGAAGAGTTAATTCTTACCTTAAAAGATGAAATTCTCTATACTCAAACCCTCACGTCTGAAAGGCCAATGATTAGCTTATGTCCAGGGCAAATTCCACCAAATAATCCCAGCTTCGGGAAAGAAGGGCTTGGTATTGGCTATGCATTCCAAAGGTTTTATGAAATCACGGAATCCAGTCCTTACACAGGTCTTTGCTGGGGCCTGATGTCTTCCCTCACAGCCCCAGCACCCCGAGGGTGGGCTCCTCCGGTTCTACGTTGACCTTCCATGGTACTTACTGCAACTGTGACCACACAGTTACTTACGAGATTATTTATGCCCTCTCCAAGAGCAGGGTCTATGCCTAGCACAGTGCCTGGCACATAGAAGGTAAATGAATAAATGAATGAAAGAATGAACAAAAAGTTTCCACTTGCCTTATCTCATTCCAGCCATAAAACGATTATGCTAATGGCCCAGAGGCCGGGATTACCATCCCCACTTTACAGATGAGGAAACTGAAGTTCTGAGAGGCTGAGTCTGTTGAGGTCATCCGGTGAGTAAGCGGTGAGGCAGGTACTTCAACCCAGACCTCCCGACACCTATCCTGCATTCTCTCCTCCACATTCTCTGCCCTTGGACTCACCAGGCTCGCCCTGATGCCTATTCAGATGTAACATTTTGGAGGGGCACTGCTCCCTGGAGCCTTCTGCTTGGGTGTGCCTTTTGGTGGCCAGCTGAAACATTTCCAGTGCAGAAGGTCCACATTCCACCCAAACCCATTGAGTAATGGGTAATTGATTGGTTGGCAACAGCTCCATCTGATGATGGCAAAGCAAGTCTTCACACATTAATTTCACACACACCTCAGGAAGCCTCTGGCCGGGAAGTGTTCCCATAGTCGGGAACTGAAGCTGGGTAGGTTTGTGCTGTTTGTTGGGGGCCTCTTGACATCCAGCTTAAGCACTGTTCTTTTTAGGTTTGGTCAATCCATCCCTTTCTGTTTGCTTTTGTTTTCTCTGATCCCTTTAGAATAAGAAAAGCACTCAAGCACTTAGGGAAACTGGGTCTCAGTTCATATTCTCAATTCCCTTTTAATTGCCACCCGTTGTTTAGGAATTCGCCAGGTCTTTGATCTAGACACGCAGGGAACATTCCAACTCTCTCCTTTCTCTCCACCAAACCCTGTTCAAAATCTAACCTTACTGTTCTATTAAATCCACTCCCTTCCCTTTTTTTTGTTTTTGTTTTTTACCTCCACATCTCTGGGGGTCCCTGGAGAACACTTAGAGGTGCATGGTTGAGGAGAAATTGAACTTAAGGTTTAGCCCGATTTAATGGGGAAACCCCTAGAATGGGAGTAACAGTGTGAGCGGCCCAGTTTCCTCCAACTAGTGGTGAGATTCGGGGCAGGTGATTGCACCTCTGTGGGTTCAGCTTCTGCATCTGCAGACTCACGGTGGTTCTTACCCAAGCTCTGTTGTTCTTCCTGCACATTCCATTTCCTGCCCCAGATGACAAAGCAGAGACACCAACGTCTTAGGAAGCACACTGTTCTGGAGCTCACGGCTCCGGATCAGGAGCTGCAGGCAGAAAAGGCCATCCTTAAGCCTACTGTGGTCTGGAAGTGTTTGTAACAAGATTGGCTTTGTAACTATTTCCTTAAGAACACTGGAAGGCACTTTATTAGCCCAAACAATAGCTGAGCTGACAGGGGCAGAGCAGCGACACACTTGCTGGTGGCATCTGCTTCCTGGTGGCTCTCAGCAGTCAGACAAGTGGCTTCACCAGCAGGCTGAGGCTAGCCCAAGAGTCCGCTTAGGCTGAGGGGTCAGACAGACCTGGGAGAGATGAGGGATGGTCTGGACACTGTGGCCCAGAGAAAGAGGGCATGATGGGCCAAGTCACAAAACCAGGGGTCATATACCAGGGCTAGGGTGGGCACCCTTCAGCCAACCACACGGTCTGAGCAATACTGTAGGGAGCGGGGTTACCAAGTGGGAAGGACACAACCTAGCACAGTGAACAGCACAGACACTCAGAGGCTCCAGGGAAACCAGAAGCACAAAGGACATTGGTGGTGGGAATATCAAGTGGCAGTAACAGCAGCAGGAAGATTAGGGGAGCACTGGGGGCAGCAGCGGAGCCCTGGTGGTGCAGTGGTTAAGAGCTCATAAGGTCGGCAGTTTCAATCTACCAGCTGCTCCTTGGAAACCCTATGGGGCTGTTCTACTTTGTCCTGTAGAGTTGCTATGAGTCAGAATTGACAGCAATGGGTTTGGTTTTTTGATTTTAAGGCAGCAACTGGGGCCCTGGTGGCACAGTGGTTAAGCATTTGGCAGCTAACCAAAAGGCTGGCAGTTCAAATCCACCAGCTGCTCCTTGGAAACCCTATGGGGCAGTTCTGCTCTGTCCTATAGGGTTGCTATGAGTTGGAATCAACGTGAAGGCAATGACTTAGTTTTGTTTTTCTTAAGAGGGAGGGGCAGCAAGTCAATAAGACCATTGATTTAACAACAGGACATCGACTAAATACAAAGGGGATCAGAACCTCGTGTGTGTGACTAGATGTCTCTATGCACATATTTAAAGTATAAGATGTGGGGAAAAGAGGACGGAGGTGAGCAACAGTGTCGATAATATGCACTGGAAGCAGAACTCAGGCAGACCTGAGCAAGACGCAGAATGTCTAGTACAGTGCCTGGCACATGGCGGGTGTTCAATAAATGACTGTAAGTCCCCTTCTGCCATCCCAGAGAAGGGATCCCCCGCACCCCCCACTTCCCCCCAGGTTTCTAGTGAGCATGGGCTTCTATTGTTCACTAGAATAAGCCTTGTCTACTTATCTGTTATTAAAATCCCATTGCTGTCGAGTCAATTCTGACTCATAGCGACCCTATAGGACAGAGCAGAACTGCCCCATAGAGTTTCCAAGGAGCGGCTGGTGGATTCAAACTGCTGACCTTTTGGTTAGCAGCTGAGCTCTTAACCACTGCGCCACCAGGGCTCCATCTGTTATTAGTCATTTATTAGGTCGAATCCTATTTGCTTAGTAAAGTTGTGCACGTGTTTCCCCCCACCCCCACTCCTTGCTATTCACCTATTCTCAACTGATTTCTTGGTGTCTAAATTTCCAAGCTAAGAACCTAATCAGGGAGCAGCGAACGAAATTCTGCATCCGAATGCAGCCACTGAATTCCTAACGGTGCCCAGCCCAGGCAGGCACTCGACTGGAGACCTGAAGGAGGCTGTTGCCCAAATGGCATTGTGCTCCGGGGGGCTACTGAGTAGCTGTAGCGACAGACCAAGGCCGGGGCCACGAAAGCAAATCCCTAGAGGCTCCCCGCGCTCTCCTCCCGATTGGGCAGAGGCAACGGATCTCACCCAAGCCTGCCGGCTGCTTTCCCCGCGAACTGGGGTCTGCGCCGCGGAGCGCTAGAAGTGTGGCTACAATTCACCTTAGAACTGGGGACCAGCCCTCGGGTAGGCAGGGCGTTCTCCCCCCGCCCCGCATGATGACATCATTTGTTTGGGGCTGAGTCTCTCCATAAAAGCAGCGGGGGGCGGGGGGGCGGGGAGCCAGGAGCCAGGAGCCCGAAGGGAGGACGTGCTCGCCGCGGCGACAGGCAGCGCGCACGCGGTCCAGGTGCGCGCCCCGCCGCCCCGAGCGCTGCGCGACCCCAGAGTTACAAAGAGCGGTAGCCGCGGGGCAGCCGGCGCTAGCGAGTCCCCGAGCTTGCCAAAGATGCCCCATCGCAGCCTGCACGCGGCTGCTGTCCTGCTGCTTGTCATCTTAAAGGAACAGCCTTCCAGCCCAGCCCCACTGAACGGTAAAGTTTTTGCCCCTTTCTTTGCTAACAGTCCGAGAGCTCAGCCACGCCAGAACAGAAAGATTTCCTGCGGGACTCTTTAAAGACTAATTAAAATCTTCACTGGGGAGCAGGGCAGAACTTGCACAAGATCAAATCACACGTTTTTAGAAAGGATGCTTCGTCTTCCTTTGGAATGCACGACCCAGTGCTGTTGAGGGAAGCAGGCTGTCTTTCTAACGGTGCGTGGTTCGGGTTTGGTGTTAAAATTCATTCGTGTGTTCTCTGAGCACCCGCAGCTCAGGAAGGGGTGGCCTGGAAACTTGGTGACCAGACAGGAGAGAGGGAACTGGGGTTTCCAGTATTCCGCTCCAGATCCGCGTGCATCTGAGAGAGAATTGACCGTGGCATTTTGCTACCTGTGATCTCCAGAAACGGTTTGCAGACTCCCCAGCGCCGAACCCCAGACTAGGGTGGGTGCTTTTCTTTGGGGGTGAGACTTTTTACCATTAAGTTTTACCTCCAAATCAGAGGGATGATGCGGCCTACCTAATCATTGTTTTCCTCCAGAAGGACCCTACTGCTCTGAACGTGTGCTCGCCCCCCCCCCTTATTTCCGAGTGTAATTAGTGCTCTTGACCCCAACGGCTGGAGGCTGAGGGTGCTGAGTTGGGTGGGAGGAGGGTGTGGAGTGTGGATGGGCCTGAACTGTGCTCAGAGCAGGGCAGGGCAGGGAGTTACGGTGAACGGCCAAGGGTCAGGTTAGTTAACCTTCTGGAACAAGAGAAGTATGCCAAGCGTTTGCCTGTCTTTCCAACAGCTGGGCAAGCACTTTTGGCAGGGGTGGGGGAGTAGATGGTGACTTTTGTGGAAACTTCCTGAGTAATGGTTGGTGATTAACCAGTAAGCAAGATACGCGAGGGCTTAACTGCCTTTACTTACTAATCGGTAGTGCACAATTTCACTTGAGTGAATGAAATCGTGCACTACAGACTGGTGAGTAAGCACAATTAAGCGTACCTTGCTTACTGTGTAATCCATCCTGCGTCTTGCCCTTGACAGAGTTTGCCCTAAATTGTAAAGACTTTTGTGGGGGCTCCAACGCTGTAGCATTTGCGGACTGATTCCTGGACCCAGGTTAGGCTGAAATATTTATAGAGGGATCAAAAGCGACTACAATGGCTGAACACGGACTCTCCCCGGTTGGGCAGTGGTGGTAGGAAGTCGGTTCCCGTCAGCAGCATAGAAGCTCTGAACCTCCTTTCTCTCTGGGAGGTCACTGTGCCCGCGTGTGAGGGGCGGGAGGAGCAAGGAGCCTGCGTGAGTGGCTTTGAGATTGTTCTTAATTAAAATGATGAAACTCTAATCCACTAGTTGGCGTGATGTGCCTGATACTATTTCTCTCAACTGGCTGAGGGGAAACAGAATGTAGGTGGGAGAAAGGAGCTACATAAAAGTTGAAAGTCATTTTTAAAACTGCAGACTTCGCAATGTATCCATTCCCCTCTCCGGCGAGAACCGGGCTGGGGCCGTGGTTTCACTAGAAATCGCGCGTTTAGTTCCAAGCTGCCTCAGGACAAAAGAGAGAAGTGGCCATTCATTGGCCCCGGTGCCCGAAAGCCTGTTACTCCGCCTCACTCCGGGAGCGGCCCCTCCTCCTTTCTCTCTCTTCTGCCAAATTTTCCCGCCTTCCCTTCCCTGCCCTCCCTCTCCCTCCCCT